CTCAAAACCAACCGCCTGCGATATTCTGTTTGTATAGATCCAGATCTTCTTACATCTCAGGCTGGTTTCCTGGGTGCTCAGAGTGGTTTGGTAGGCTACTCCTCCGCCATCTTTCCTCTCTCCTCTGTTAGCCATTTCTATGTTTTCTTTGGAGAAATGTCTGTTCATAACTTCTGCCCATATCTTGACTGAGCTTTTTGTTTTTTGGGGGTATTTATTTTATTTTCTTTTTAAAAAAGATATATTTATTTATTTTAGAGAGAGAGAGTGGGCAGGCAGGGGGAGGGGCAGAGGGAAAGAGAATCCTGAAGTAGACTCCCTGCTGAGTGCAGAGCCCAACCCCAGGACCCTGAGATCATGACCTGAGCTGAAATCAAGAGTTGGCTGCTTAACCAACTGAGCCAACCAGGCACCCCAGGTTATTTATTTATTTTAGAGAGAAGGGGAAGAGCAGAGGGGGAGGGAAAGAGAGAGGGAAAGAGTATCAAGCAGACTCTGTGCTGAGCATGAAGTCCAACATGGGACTCAATCCCACAACCCATGAGATCATGACCTGAGCCAAAAGCAAGAATCAGACACTCAACTGAGCCACCCTTTATTTTACTTACTTTCTAAAAAGTCTATTCTTTCTGTCTTTGTGTTTTCAGAGTATATTGTCCTTTTTTTTTTTTTTTGCTGCCTCAAACCTGACCTTAATCTCTATAAGAGTGATTTCTTTCATTAAGTTGATTTTGAACATTATTTTTTATATGTTGATTTTGTTAAACTCTTATTAATTCCAATGAGATATCTGTACAGTCTTTTTTGGTTTCTACATAGACATTCAGATCATGTGGGAATAATGATTAATTCTCATATTGCTATTTAGTTTCTTTTTGGATATTCTACAAAAGCAACCAGATTCCATGGAGGTAATAAAAAATATAATTTCTTTCTTATCTTCAAAAGTTGAAATCCTCATAGCTGTTGCTGGCAATGTAAAATGGTACAATCAGGTGAACTGTATGATATATGATTTATATCTCAAAAAAACTTAAAAAATTATGCACTGGGAAAGAAATTTGACAATTTCTTTTAAAGTTAAATGAACACTTACCATATAATCCGGCAACTCAGCTGCAAAGTACTTACCCCCCAAAATGAAAACATTTGTCTACACCATTATTTGCACACAAAAACTCATAAAAGATTTATTTATAATAGCTAGAATTTTAGAAGCAATTTAAATATCCATAAACAGGTGAATGGATGAACACAATGTTGTGTATATTTATAATGAAATATTCAGACATTAAAAGGAACAAACTATTGATGAACACAACTACTTGGATGAATCTCAGAAATATTATATTGAATGAAAGAAACTGGACATAAAAGAGTACATACAATTTGATTCCATTTATTTTGAAAATCTAGTGAAGGTCCCCTAACAGAGAGTGACAGAAAGCAGATTGGTGGGTAAGGCAAGGGGGTAGGAGAGAGGACTTATTTTAAAAAGGCATAAGGGAATATTTTGGAGGGAAGAAAATGTCCTACATCTTGATTATGGTGGTGTGCAAATGGCTGAGCAAATTTGTCAACCACATAAAATTGATATATTTTATTGTATGTAAATTATACCTCACTAAAATTGACTTTTTATTTTTATTTTTTAAAGATTTTATTTATTTATTTGACAGAGAGAGACACAGCGAGAGAGGGAACACAAGCAGGAGGAAGTGGGAGAGGGAGAAGCAGGCTTCCCGCTGAGCAGGGAGCCTGATGTGGGGGGCTCCATCCCAGGACCCTGGGATCATGACCTGAGCGGAAGGCAGATGCTTAATGACTGAGCCACCCAGGTGCCCCTAAAGTTGACTTTTTAAAAGTTGATTGTTTTTCTGCCCTTGTTACACTAGCTAGAATCTTTAAGGCAAAGATTAATAAAATATGTGATGGTGAGCTTTATTTCCTTGCTTTGACCTTTATGATAATTCTTTCATTATTTTACCATTACAAATATAATTTACTGAGATTGTTGTAAGATATCGTTGGCAAGGTTAAAATAGTTCCCTTATTTGCTAATTTTTTAAAATCATAAATGAATTTTTTAGTTAAATCTATTTAGATTATTATATTGCTTTCTTCTTCAATCTCTTAATGTGGTAAATTACAATAAGTGATTTTCTAATATTAAGGCAACCATGCCTTTCTGAAATAAACACTTGTTCATGCTGTATTATTTTTATATGGTGTTGGATTCAATTTGTCAACATTTTGTTCAAGTTGTTTCTAATCTGTGTACACAAGTTAATATGGCTATAATGTTCCATTTTAATTCCATTCTTGTCAGGTTTTGGTAAAAAGTTATGATAGTCCCACAAAATGAGTTAGAAACTGGTCTAAATTTCTACACTTTGGAAAGTTTTGTGTATAATTGGAATTACTGTTTTCCTTTATTCTTTTCTTTAAATTTTATTTATTTATTTGACAGAGAGAAGAGAGTGTGAGTATAAGCAGGGGGAGCTGCAGGCAGAGGGGGAAGGAGAAGCAGGCTCCCTGCAGAGCAAGGCGCCCAAGGGGCTAGACCCCAGGGTCCTGGGATCATGACCTAAGCTGAAGGCAGATGCTTAACCAACTGAGCCATCCAGGCACCCCATGTTTTCCTTTATTCTTGGTACAACTTGCTGATTAAACCATTTGGGCCTGGAGTTTTCTTCATGGGAAGATTTTCACTATTGACTCAATTTTTTAGTGTTTATAGAATATTCAGATTTCCTATTCTTTTTTGAGTCCCTTTTGGCAAGTTACATTCTCCAAGAAATTTGTACATTTTAAATTTTAAAATTTATTGACATGAAATTGTTTAGCATAACATTTGTTACAACTCCAGGAGCTAGTTATATCCCCCTTTCCATGGCTATTTTTTTTTTTTTTGCGTGGCATCATCAGATATGTCAAGAATCAATTTTTGATTTTCTTATATTACTTTGAAATTCTTTACTTGATATTTAAAAATTTTTGTTCTTTCCTGTCTAAGAATTACGGTCAGATCATTTGTTTCTTTTATCTTTTCTATGCATTTAAGACAACTATATCTAAGTCCATCTTTAGTTAAATACACAAGATTTAATTCACTGCAAAAAGGAAATGATAATTATGTGACATGATAAAGCTGTTAGATAAAGCTATAATGGTAATCATATTATAATATATAAATGTATCAAATCACTACATTGTACACCTTAAACTCACAAAATATATACCAATTATATTTCCTTTTTTCTTTTTTTTCTCATTTTTTTGATTTCAAGTTTTTATTTATTTATTTATTTTTAATTTTATTGTTATGTTAATCACCATATATTACATAATTTGTTTTGGTGTAGTGTTCCATGATTCATTGTTTGTTCATAACACCCAGTGCTCCATGCAGAATGTGCCCTCCTCAATACCCATCACCAGGCTAACCCATCCCCCTACCCTCCTCCCCTCCAGAAACCTCAGTTTGTTTTTCAGAGTCCATCATCTCTCCTGGTTCATCTCCCCCTCTGACTTACTCCCCTTCATTCTTCCTCTCCTGCTATCTTCTTCTTTTTCTTTTTTCTTAAAATATGTTGCGTTATTTGTTTCAGAAGTACAGATCTGTGATTCAACAGTCTTGCACAATTCACAGTGCTCACCGTAGCACATATCTTCCCCAATGTCCATCACCCAGCCACCCCATCCCTCCCACCCCCGACCACTCCAGCAACCCTCAGTTTGTTCCTGAGATTAAGAATTCCTCATATCAGTGAGGTCATATGATACATGTCTTTCTCTGATTGTCAAGTTTTTATTTAAATTCTAATTAGTTAACATATATGGTACCTATATGGAAAAATGGTTTCAGGTGTAGGATTTAGTGATTCATCACTTACTTATGACTCCCAGTGCTCATCACAGCATGTGCTCTCCTTAATACCCATCACCCATTTAGCCCATCCCCTGCCCACCTCCCCTCCATTAACCAGCAGTTCATTCTCTATAGTTAAGAGTCTCTTATGGTTTGCTTCCTTCTCTTTTTTTTTTCCTTTCCCCTATGTTTATCTGTTTTATTTCTTAAATTCCACATATGAGTGAAATCCTATGTGTACCCATTATATTTCAATTAAAAAAATTTAAAAATTTAAAAAAATTTCAATCCACAAAATTTGGTGAATAGTATTTTTCATTATATTTGTTATAAATGTTTTCTAATTTCTATTCTAATGTATTGTTTGACTTCTGAATAGTTTAGAAATATGTGATTAGTTTCCAATTATGATGGTTCTTTAATTACCAATTTGTTACTGATTTCTAACTTAATCCCACTGTAGTCAGAGAATGTTATATGTATGACCAACCCTTTAAAGTTTAAAAGTTTTTCCAAAACCAAAGGAGTGCTTCAAAACTATATTACCTAGATATTAGCTAATGACTCAACTTCACTCAATACTTACTATATGTGTGGGTGGCGCTGTACATAACTGAACTAATTTAACTTCAACTGAACCCTATGAGGTAGGTTCTATTATCTCTGTCTTATCAATTAAGTAACTTAGGTAGAAAGATAAGAGACAACATATTCAGAGTCCTAAAGCTCACAGATAGCAGAGCCATATTCCAAAGATAGCTATGTGACATCAAAGGCCATGCTTTTAGTCACTAAGCTATACATAGGAGTTATAATCCCTTTAATAACATCCTGAAATTTCTAAAGCATCTTTAAGAAGAGCTTTCCAAATGTTATTATACGTTCCTTTGTCCTTGTAAAAGCCTGGTGCATTAACAGTGAAAAGTATAATTATCGGGAATATTGATGCACAAGACCATTGTAGCTATTTAGTGGCAAAGTTAAGCAGGGTTATTTCTTCTAAAATGGCTCAATAGTTCTCTTGGTTTTGTTTTTAGTGTGAGTAGAAGGTGTTAATAGAAATTGGGATAAAAACTAACGAAAAGATTTATTCTCTTCTTTGTCTACAGATCCTAGGATCACTAATGCAATGGCTGGGGGAAAGAACAGTACAGCAGTTATGAAGTTCATTCTCTTGGGTTTCTCTGAATTTCCAAAGCTCACCATTGTCCTTTTTTCAATATTCCTAGGGATCTGCCTCATGACAGTGTTCTGGAATCTGGGCCTCATCACACTCATCAGGGTGGACTCCCATCTGCACACACCTATGTACTTTTTCCTCAGTAACCTGTCCTTGCTGGACATCTGCTATGTTTCCACTATAGCACCCAAGATGCTCTCAGATTTCTTCCAGAAGCAGAAATCCATCTCCTTTGTGGGGTGCACTATGCAGTACTTCTTCTTCTCTAGCCTGGGTCTGACTGAGTGCTGTCTCCTGGCAGCCATGGCTTATGACCGTTATGCTGCCATTTGTAATCCTCTGCTCTACACTGCCATCATGTCGCCCACCCTCTGTGTGCAGATGGTGGCAGGATCTTGTGTAACTGGATTCTCTGGCTCATTTATCCAACTCTGTGCCTTACTTCAGCTCCATTTCTGTGGGCCAAATGTCATCAATCATTTCTTCTGTGATCTTCCCCAACTGCTAATCCTATCCTGCTCTGATACCTTTTTCTTTCAAATCATGACCTCTGTGCTCACAGTGATCTTTGGACTCACATCTGTCTTGGTTATCATGATATCCTATGGTTATATTGTTGCCACCATTCGGAAGATCACCTCGGCTGAAGGCAGGTCCAAGGCCTTCAACACCTGTGCTTCTCACCTGACAGCAGTGACTCTCTTCTTTGGCTCAGGTATTTTTGTTTATATGTATCCTAATTCCGGTGGTTCCTTGAGCCAAAACAAGTTGGCATCAGTTTTATACACTGTTATAATCCCCATGCTAAATCCATTGATCTACAGCTTAAGGAACAAGGAAATCAAAGATGCCCTAAACAGATGGAAGAAGAGAAACTTTTTCTGTTGTTACTAATTATAAAATTCATTTCAGACGTACAGTATAAGAAAAATGGTGACTAAAATACTGACCCACAACTTTCCTAATTGTGGGATGAATTATAGTTGTTTCACTCTCCCAATATAAACCCATGACTGGCACAAGGACAGGAAAATGCATGAGAAGTAACTGGAAACTCAACATCTCCATCCTTCATCAACTATGACCTAATACATCAATAGGCCAAGCAATCCACAACTGTTTTTTTGTAGCTAGTTGTGGTGGTGTGACCCTTCACCTTCAATATTCCATCCCTGCCTCGTGTGTACTACCTCAAGGATCGGAGATGCCAGTATGGGTCAAGGCTGCCAGGAGGCCAGCACATCTCTTGATAGCATCTCATTTTAGTTAGAGCAGGGATTACTATTGGTATTGCGAGATCTCTGTAAAAAGACTTTCCTATCTAATTAGTTCTCAGATTTAACCTACTTTTTCACCTCTGGATATTATGGATGAATTTCTTCATTTGTGGATTTGTCCAAAGCAAGAGTAACTATACTTGATCAAAGATTTGTTAACTTCAAACAAAAAGAAATTTGTTGTAATAGGAATGCTGAACATGTATGTCTTGCATAGCTAAGGTTTTGTTGACTAGTTGGCTCAGTAGCAATGCCTAGAAAATTCCTTGTCTGTTATTGCTGTGGTCATCCATCTTTACTTTTGTAACCAGAAAACGGAACCAGAAATTGGCACTCTGCTGAGGAGGTGATCTAGTGCCTGATTTTGGCACCAACAACAATGTCTTCATGTTACTTTTTCCTTTTTTTTTCTTTTTTAATGTATTTTAAGTAGAACCAGTCTCTAACAGGAAGTTGTTTTTCCAATAATTAACAAATGGGAAGTGGTTGGTGAAATTAGATATAAGAAGTGGAACCTCTGGTGCATAAGGAAGTCTATATTCGGCTGTTTCCCTCATACCATTGATTGGAATTGCTACAAGGTGTGGAGAAGGCCTGGAGAGTTGAGGCTGGGACAGAAACTGTACTCCTGTTGTTTATCCTCAGATTCTGATTTCCATAATCTTAGGCCATAGCTAGGAGCAATGCCTCAATATATAAAATTCAAAATCTCAATTATGGAAAATATAATGCTCAGAAAAGAGCGATATGGGTCTTAACGCAAAGAGGCCTATTTCCAAGAAGACCAGCCTCCTTTTTATTCTGATCCTTAAATCACCTGTAACATATGGATGTATAGGACACATATCCTGGTGCAGGAGCAACAGAGGTCCAGAAATTAGTCATACAGAGATTCAGTGGTTAGACAGACTTCTGGACAGTACTGTGTGTTTCTTTTTCTATAACTACCTGTGATTAACATTTTTGTCTTGATATTTTTAAAGAAATGAGTGTACTTTATGTGATGTTGTGCTAGGGGGAAACATCTGCATCTATTAATTCTATTATGCCATATCTCCTGGGTTTCTGGGTTGCTGCAGGAATTTAGCACTATGACTGAGAATGGATGTACTCTGAGATAAGGAGTAGTAATAATCCTGTGTCCTAAGAAGTTATATTTTCCTTGCTGTGTTAGCAGAAGAAGATGAGGTTTGATGGCTTCTAGGACTCTGGGCATTGGCTAAATGCTCCTAATTCAGCACAGGTTGCTGATTGGTTGTTTTGTTCATCACTATGCACCTCAATTATTTCATAACTTAAAATTGCAAAATAATGTTTATTTTATACACATACCTGTGTCCTATTTTTCATAAGTTCTCTACTAATTTATTTTTGGTGAATGAAAGTAGTTTTCTGAAAGTGAACATAAAAGTGGGCTTTGGAGGGGTGCCTGGGTGGCTCAGTCAGCTAAACATGTGAATCATGATTTCAACTCAGGTTGTGATCTTAGGGTTGTGAGATCGAGCCCTATGTTGGGCTCTGTGCTCGGTGGGGAGTCTACTTGAGATTCTGTCTCTCCTTCTCCCTCTACCCCTCCCTGTGCTTGCTCTTTCTCTCTCTCTCAAATAGGTAAATAAATAAGATCTTTTTAAAAAAGTGGAGTTTGGAAAATGTTCCTAAGTTTTCTGAGTTAAGATACATCCAGAGATGTGGCTCAGTGGGTTGCTACACCTAAGCAAGCACAGCTGCAGGAAAGTGAATGATTCACCTGATATTCAGAAGTCATTAACCCTGTTTTCATCTGAGGGAAGAACCACAATGAGTTCTTAATTCCCAGAATTTTAAAAGTGGTTTAGTCAGTGAAGAGCAAATTGGATGTTTCAAAAAACTAAGCATCAAATTGGAGAACTCCCCTGAGATCTTTCCTAAGAAGTCAGAGAAAAAGTACAAAGAGATGAATATGATGAACAAGATGATGAGGCACAAAGGAGTGCATTAGGAGAGCCAGTGTAATATAACAGGAGATTCAAAAGATAATCATTAAACAGATGGAGACAACAGGATTGTTGAATTTTAAGAACAGATAATTCCCCTGATCTGAAGAAAGAATATTGAAAACTTGCCTGTTTTAACCAAGGTATGTGTTTGTTAAAATTAATTCTGATCCAAATCTCAACAGAATTTGGTGGTGGGTGGGAAGTAATGGAAAGAACTTTGTAAAATGATACTAATGTTCAATTTGGAGAATAGAGGTTGGCAATAACAAGAATATTTTGGAAAAAATACTTAAGTAGTGGCTTGTCCTCTAGGTTTTCAATTCATACAGTAATTTAAACCAAGATTGATAACTACGACAGTGGGACAAAAATTTATTTTAGAAAAAGGTCTAGTTAGATGAAAATTAGAATTTTTAATAAAGGAAGCTTCTATAAATTATTGATAAAAAGTATCCAATTTATAATCTGAGATTAGTTAAGTATTTCAGAATATAAAAACAAGTATTTGTTTCACAGTACATAAAATATAGCTACCATGTGGATTGAAGAATATGAATGAAACGCATTTAAGCCACGAGTAAATAAGTGCTCTACTAATAGAGCACTTCAAAAATAGAAAAATATGTGGATAAAATTGATAAATATAACAAAGAAAATACAAATAAATGTGATTTGTCAGGCCTAAAATTAGTAGAAGAAATCACAAAGGAAAATAAGTTGGTACTTTAAAGACTTTCCTTTTTTTTTTTTTTCAATCAATGACACAAATGAAATTCAAAGACAAGCAGCCATGGAAGGGAAAATAAAGCAACAAATGATGATCTCCAAAGATTAACATTTTGATGGAAGCTACATCCATTCTACTGAAAAGTAATGAGACTATTACAAACCCTATGTGAGGCTGAGTTACAAAAGAGAAAATGAGCCTATGCAAGTGCATGAAAAATAGCTCAAACTCCAAGTAATTAGATAAATGCAGATTATAGCAATTCAGTGTGCCACATTTCACCTGTCAGATTCACAAAGGTGATCTAAAATAATTTAAAATATTGAACGGGGCTTAATTATTCTGAAAAATCCATAGTCAAATATTCCATTTTTTAGGATGGGAGAACCTACCATAAAGATAATTATTTTTCCTTTCTTTGGGGACAAAGAGGTGAAATAGACATCTGTGATTATTAGATGAATTTTGCTGACACCACTGCACTCATTTTTCAGATGATCCATTTCATCTCTTATAGCAAAATGACTGTGCAATGTTTAAGAAGTCTCTGTCAAGGCAAAAAAAAAAAAAAAAAGCCAGACTAGTAGAAATAGAGACACCTCCTTTCACACCATGGAGAATGTTTTCTTACCTTTCAGGATAATAAAGATAATGTCTCTTTCTGGAGGAAAGAATGGGTAGGCTTCCAACAGCCTTTTATAAGATTGGGGGTATGTTAACATCAGTGTCCCTCAGCTGTTACACAGACCCACAACTTGTGTGCCTGATCTTCCTGTGTCTGCCTCCACATTGCCTCCATGGACTTGAGACACTAGAGGAGCTATTGTAATCCTAATGCTCATGCTGCCTCCTCTCTGAATCCTTTTGGGCTCATTGTCTTCTCACCAGCCAAAGCTGTTGAAGAGTGAAAAGCCAACAAAGCAACTGTCACCACACTGCTGCTTAAAAACTGTTTGACAGTTTGACACAAGATAAACACCAACCTATCAAAATGAAAGGCATCACAAGATGTCCATCGACAGATGAATGGATAAAGGAGATGTGGTATATATACACAATGGAATATTATGCAGCCATCAAAAGGAATAAGATCTTGCCATTTGCAACGACGTGGATGGGACTGGAGGGTGTTATGCTGAGAGAAATAAGTCAATCAGAGAAAGACATGTATCATATGACCTCACTGATATGAGGAATTCTTAATCTCAGGAAACAAACTGAGGGTTGCTGGAGTGGTGGGGGGTGGGAAGGATGGGGTGGCTGGGTGATAGACATTGGGTAGGGTATGTGCTATGGTGAGCTCTGTGAATTGTGCAAGACTGTTGAATCACAGATCTGTACCTCTGAAACAAATAATGCAACATATGTTAAGAAAAAAGAAAAAGAAGAAGATAGCAGAAGGGGAAGAATGAAGGGGAGTAAGTCGGAGGGGGAGACGAACCATGAGAGACGATGGACTCTGAAAAACAAACTGAGGATTCTAGAGGGGAGGAGGGTGGGGTGATGGGTTAGCCTGGTGATGGGTATTAAAGAGGGCACATTCTGTGTGGAGCACTGGGTGTTATGCACGAACAATGAATCATGGGACACTACATCAAGAACTAATGATGTAATGTATGGTGATTAACATAACAATAAAAAACTATTGTTATTTAAAAAAAAAGAATGAAAGGCATCACTAAGCTACCAGTATGGCCATACCAGTGCATACTAATGAAATGCCAGTGCTGCTTGTATTGTACTACCAGTATGGCCATGCCATGTGTATGAATGAAATTCCAGCCTTTGTATCATTATTGCTATCATGATACGAGATGATGCTCCTAGAGCCTTTACCAAGACAGGGACTGTTCTGTGTGCTTACCGTACTTAGTCTTTTAATCCTTACAATCCCATAAGAGATGCTTTATTTTT